CAGGTTTTGAGCTTATCTCCCTAGGATCCTTAGTGTTGAACTGCACCAGGCATTCGTGCTGTAGATGCGGGCCGGCCAACTCAACAACAAGAATCAGCATGTCTCTCCATGCCTGATGCTCGAACCGTTTAGCATAAGCATCCCTGGCATTGTCTGGGTACTCGTGTAGGTAATGCTCCATTCCTGGGCTGGTGAAATCGCTCATTTTGTCTCTGACGTACCCCAAAAGACGCTCCTGGAGTTTTATAGACTGCTTCTCCGCATCATCGCCGCACTTCTCCCGCAAAGCTGGCAGGAAATCCTTGCGTAGGAGAGGCTTGTTGTTGTCACGCTCGCCGACTCTTGCAGGATCACGGTTTAGCCATTGGCAAACATGGGACATGACAATGCTCATTACCTTCCCCTCCTGCTTCGTGGTCTTAAGGAGGGAGTGGACGTCCGCAAAGCCTAGGTCTGGCGTTGAAAGCACAAATCAATACAGACTATCGTATACGTCGTCGCCAGCTGTCAAGAAAAGGTTTTGCTGTCGGCAGAGGGTAACGTCTTTTTAGTTGTCCAGGTTAGGGTAGAATAGTTGTTAAACATCTGCAGGCTTTCGTACTTGCGGGAGACTTGCCAACTGAATCCAGTCACTAGACTGGACGTCAATGCTGAATTCACTGCGTATTTGAGATATTGAGTTAATTACAGAGTGGAACGTGGTGAACCAGAACTGTTGTACTCTTAGTGCGATTCTAATTGCTCTTAGTAGTATCCACTTACATCGTCAATCCTGCAGCTCGCCATCCATTCAAATGTAGAAATGTTAAATGTTGCCTGGCCAAGCAAGAATTCGCACCATCTTGTAATCATTTGCTTCCAATTCTGATTCCTCCATAGAGTGCCTAGTCGCCTCACTGGAAATTTGACTCGACCACTTAGCCCAAGGTGTTCTAGCATTTGCCGCTCTACCTCTGTCTTTGGGCCCTGGAAAAGTGTATTATCTGAAGACGACAAGGTCGCTAACTCTGTCTATATCTGGCTATAGTTGTCAGGCAGAATTAAATCTTCTCAGTTAGCCCGAAGCTTAGTGCGTAGATGCGGTGGCAGTGCGTCTTGTTTTGTATTAGCTTGCATTAGTTCGCTTGTCTCAGAGGGGGCGGGTTTTAACCTTTGTTGTAAATGTCGCAAATCCACCATCGCTCTTCCTTGCCGCAACCTAAAAGCCGCAGGCGCTTCTTCAGAGCCTCTACTCTATAATTGCCCGCCATAAGTTTAGCCTTCTCTCCCACTACCATATCCTAATCTTCAAATGAAGGCTACTTAAACTCCTCTCCCCGCATATCCTCTCTTGCAGCGGCAACCTGTCCATCCTGCGCCTGCTCCCAGCTGAGATGATCTAGCATCTTCTTCACCTGCTCTTTAGTGCACGCTATTCTAAGTCAATAACCTAGGTCCCTTTAAAGAACGCCTTGTTCACTAAATATCTCACAAAGCTGCTGCTTGTGCGCCTTGTTAATAGATCAGTTTCCGCCAACAGTCTATTCTGGGGTGAGTGCATTAATCAGGAATTTTGCTGTTGCCAGTTAATACAGTTTTGCTAGCTCATAAACTAACTCTATCTCCTTAAGGGCTACAGCTTTAGACTTAGGCTCTTAACAACACTGCTTCTTCCTTCCCTTACTAGAGGTTAATAGGTTTTGGCGTTTCATTTTGCAATAGGTCTAGTGTTAAATGCGAACAAGAAGATGGCAGGAAGAGGGAAGGCAGAGAGAAGGCAGAGAGGAAGCGCAGGCGGTTATTTGTTTTAGCGAAGCCACTTTAGTTCTTACTCTAAGGGGTAAGGATGCTGGGGGCGGGAAGCTTGTACCCTCTTAGGGCAAGCCTTTTGGACAGAAACCACATGCAAGGACATAGTGGAGAAAGATCTTGCCCCTAGGGGCAAGCCTTTAGTCTAGAGCCTAGCGGCATATAGATGCAGGGCAGGCGGCTCTTGCCCCTAGGGGCAAGCCTTTAAGCTAGAGGCTAGAGGCAATGGATTCAGGGCCAGGACTTCTTGCCCCTAGGGGTAAGCCTTAATAGCATATACAATATATACATTCTCGCCCCGGGGGGCAACTTAACCCTATGGCAGTAGTACTGTTTCCCACCTAAGTATTTTATATAATACTCTCTTTATACTATACTTACTTTTATTTACATTATCTATATTTCTCTCTATACTATTCTTTTTTCTTACTATATTATACTATACTTTTTCTTTTATTATGTTTTTTATATACTATGTCTTTATATATTATGTTTTTTTTATACTATACTTTTTTTTTATATTTAACTTTTTTAATACTTTATAATTCTTTATACTATATTTTTTTTTATACTATTTTTTTTATTTACGCTTACTTTTATTTACTTTACTTTTTTATTTATATTTACATTTATTTTTTATACTGTACTTTTTTTCTACTATATTTTCTTTATAACTTTATTTTATATCTTTTATATCTTTTATTTCTATTTATACTTTGTTTATATATAATACTTTTTTTATATACTTTACTTTTTTTTCTTACTTATATTTTTTATTCTACTTTATTTTTTTACGCTATGCTTTTCTTTATTTTATATTTTTTATATACTATATTTTTTATATACTATGTTTTTATTTATACTTTGTTTTTCTCTATGCTATATTCTTTTCTATTTT